TGGTGGTTACATTATTATTCATTTTAAACAGTAATAATATCATGATTATTTACCAGATCACTTAGAGGTGGTCCAAGAAGATATTCGAACAATGGGAGTTTTATACAACCTCAGAATGTACGTATCATTCATCCAGATATAATCAGACATTTCCAAGTTAACTTTTTGAATAGCAGAACTGGTTATCCGTCAACAGGTAATAGTGCATGCCAAGTTATTTCTTCACGGAACAATGTTTTAACCTGCTTCGCTTTCATTTAGCCGCCGAAGAGATGTTTCTGAGCGATCTTAATGTATTTTCTAAAATATTTTTCGTTTTTTTTTGTCAGGTGCGATTATCATAATTGCCGCAATGCACATGTGTGACCAGGTAAAAGTATACGGTTTCGGTCGTCATGGTAACTCTTCTCTACATTATTACGACAGTGCTGACGTAGGCAAATATGTCTCAAGAACAAATCACAATTTTCTCAACGAATGGGAAGTATGGAGTAAACTGCAAGATTATGGAGTGCTTAGTTTTTATCAACCAGAAAGTTAATTTAGTATGCACAAAGTGATTATATGACTGACAATACAGATCTCTTGTGGCAAAATATATACAACTCTCTGTGAGAAAAAGCGAATCTTCACTTTAAGAACACTATTCAATAATTGCGACAAAATGCGACACGGTCAATTTTGTTTAAAAAGTCTGATCAGGCATCATATTATATATGAACAGATTAATTTGATTCGATAAAGCTTATCATTTAAGATACAAAATAAATTCAACCTATCAAAACGATCGGAATTGAACACGTTTTACATCCATGCAAATACAGACTGTCAAGTATGCCACATAATAGTCTCGTATAACGAATACAATTGCATAGCAATAATTGTGTAATAATACTGAAGAGAAACTGGGCAATGATATTACAAGTTATCGCATCATCAAAGTGAAATTTCAAACTGTGCATGAACACACACTGGGATTTCTTTAAATGCATACGAATTAGGTAACTTATCTCTGTGGCAGTTTCCAGCGACGCACCTCTGCATTCTCCAAGAATGGAACTTTGATCGAAAACGAGTCATAAAGAACAGCGGGCGATAATATCGCTCAATTTATCAGTATAACGTTCTCTTTCGGAAAGCATTTTCGCACAGTTTGACTGAAAAGACGTTTTGTTTTCATTGCTCATGAATTTTAATTTCAGCCAATC